GGCCCTGGCTGTCCCTGCAGCCCTGGAGCACCTGCTTTCCCTATGCCGGGAAGCCCATGAGGTCCTGGTGGTCCTTGTGGTCCAGGTATCCCCATGGGCCCGATCTCCCCCTTAGGCCCCATCTCCCCTCTTGGCCCTGGGGGCCCCATGACCCCTGGTTTTCCTGGCATCCCTGGCAAACCTGGCTTCCCGATTCCTGGATATCCTTGTGGGCCTGGTTTTCCTTTGGCTCCTGGCACACCATGACCTGGTAATCCTGGTGGCCCGGGTGGCCCTCTTGGTCCAGGCTCACCAGGGGGACCTTGCTCACCCCTTAGGCTGCGTATGGGCATTTCTGTGTCGGGAAAAAAAAAAAAAAAGAAAAAAAGAAAAAGGAAGGGGGAGAGACAAAAGGTGACTGCAGTCGCATCCTTCAAGAAACTCAGAGGCAGTTTGGAATTGAATGTGCTTGTTATGATGCCTCTTGGTTTTGTGGTAGGCACGGAGGCAGAGCTGGCCAGCTAGGTACAGGTTGGTTTTTGGAACAAAGAGGATGTTCCTACCGTTTAGCATCTCCCAAACTTGCATGCATGTTTCTGTTTCCATAAAATAATTATTTTACATCATATTTGCTTATTTTTTGCTTTGCAAAAGCCATTTGCACTTTACTAGTGTGTCCACCTATACAATTTTAAGCAGTGAAATCTGCTTTTTGTCCTGTATTGCTGTAGACTAATCTACTTTCAAGAGCTTTTGCAGGACCCAGAAGCTGCTTGGTGCTCTTGTGCTGTAGGAGGAGTTCTGATATAAAAGTGCTTTTGCTGGAAGGGCTTACACTAGAAAGATCAATTAAAAAAGTAAGAAGTTTGTACATAGGTATGACTGCATTTTCACCAAGGCTTTGGTTCCCATTAAGATATTGCTGGAAACCTACAGCCTTACCCAGCCTTGCTAAGTTCCCACAGGTTTTTGGCATAGGCATGTCTAGAGCTCTTCTAAACACTTCACAAAATGTTTTTTTTGTCTAACCCCACTTTTTTGCATATGTGACCGCTTAGCATTGCGGGTTAGGGAGTTGCTGCGTGGGAGTGGTTGTGCTGGGGGTGGTCGCTTTTCAAGCTGCAGGCTTTTTATGTTAAGTGGAAAGTGTGCCTCTTTCCAGCTCTAAGATGGATAAAGAAGTGAGAGGTTTGGGGCAAGAGGAGAGATGAGGTTTCAGGGCAAGAGAACTAATAGTTCTTTGGGAGGCAGAAACCGTCCCTCTCTGCACATGTTGTGTTTTATGCACGTAGAAAACCTCCTTTGCTCACAAGATGGGTTGGTTTTACTATAGCCAGTCGTGCTTGTTCAGACACTCCAAAAATAGGCCCTGAAATCTTCCATTTCCCTCTGAGGCCAGAGGAGGCTGTGGTTACGCTGAACCCTCAATAACAGAAAGAGTTAACCAGCTTGTCTGAAGTCGCATAGATGCTCACTGTCCCCACAAGGATTTTATGACACTGGATGTTCCTGGTTGCCCTTTGTATTTTGGACATTTTTTGTTGTTTTCTTAAATATCCTAATATTGTCCAAACTTTCTTTACTGAATACTGAAAGTGCTTGTACATGCGGACTCGTGCGGTAACGCCCTGTACCTTCAATGCCTTCGTTATGCCCATAAATAACCTACAGAAAGAGGACTGCAGAGTCAGAAAAGCAATTGTATGTTTTTATCTGCAAACCTCTAAATCACAGAGTCTGGACAAATCCAGACAAGACCGTGATATTCCCATCAATTCAACTCTTGGGGCTCTTAGCTCTTATTTCATGTCTGGTCGCTGCAGTGAGAGTGCGAGCACCTCCAGGCAGGACCTCAACCTGTCTGCCTGGGCCATCATTTGAGACCCCATCAGAGGGTTTTCTGCAGGCGGGTGGGATTACGAGGTTTCTCCTAGCCTCGAAGAAGCACCCAAACAAACCTAGGGCTGCTCAGAGGCTGTGCTGCAGCTTGGAGGATGACTGTGGCCTTGCTTTGGTGACCTCGAGCTGCCCCACAGCTCATCTGAGCCCGTTTTGTCCACCCATGGCCAGGTACCAACTCGGGGCACCTGGGGGCTGTGCCCAGCCTGCAGCAACCTGCTCCCCATATTCAGTCCCCCAGTTCCCCACAAGCAAACGGTGCTGTGGGGCACCAGGCGGGGCCATGCAGGGGTGGCGAGGGACGCTCCGAACCTACCTTTCTCTTTCTTGGGACCCATGTCCTTGCCGAGCAGAGGCATCTGTGGGACCTCCTTCATGTACTGAGGCAGGTG